GTGTGCTTCACCAAAATTAGGCATTTTCAACAAACGCACACACATCGCACATATGCTAACCAAAAAGGACCCAACAATACATGGGTACCTAAACCGTATCCTTGATATCTTTTTGTAGGTGCGCTTGAAGGCTTCGAGTACCTCTTGGTATCTCGATAGCGGATGCTCCAAGCACATGACCGGAGACGCATCCAAATTTAGGAGTTTAGAGTATTTCAAAGGTGGCAATGTCGTTTTTGGTGACAACAACAAAGGAAGGATCATTGTAAGTGGCACCGCCGGGAGAGACAATGCTACAACCGTTGAGAACGTTCTTCTTGTTGAGCGCCTCAAGCACAACCTTCTTAGCATTAGTCAATTGTGCGATAGAGGTAACCGTGTCATCTTTGATTCTAGTAAATGCATTGTAGAACGCTTGTGTGACAATAGGACTATTCTTTGTGGTAGTAGAGTAGATAACATTTACATGTTTGATCTTGAAAATTCCCCGTCTATCTTAGCTAAGTGCCTCATTACCAAAGAGGAAGAAACGTGGCTATGGCATCGTCGGATAGCTCACGTTAATATGGACCATCTTAATAAGTTGGTTTCTAAAGACTTAGTAATATGTGTTCCTAAACTTAAGTTTGAAAAGAATCTAATTTGTGATGCATGCCAAAAGGGGAAGCAAGTAAGGGCCTCGTTTAAGTCAAAAAACGTTGTTTCTACTACTAGGCCATTACAACTTTTGCACATGGACCTTTTTGGACCTTCAAGGACTATGAGTTTAGGAGGTAATTACTTTGGCTTTGTTATCGTTGATGACTATTCGAGGTTTACATGGGCACTTTTTCTTGCTCATAAGTATGATGCACTTAATGCTTTTAAGAAATTTATCAAATTGGTTCAAAATGAAAAAGATTGTCACATTTCATCCATTAGAAGTGATCATGGGGGAGAATTCGATCAAGATGGCTTTGACGCCTTATGTGATGAATTAGGCATTGAGCATAACTTCTCAGCCCCCCGTACACCACAACAAAATGGCGTGGTTGAACGAAAAAATAGGTCTCTTGAAGAGATGGCTAGAACTATGCTCAATGAGGCTAACCTTCCTAAATATTTTTGGGCGGATGCCGTGAATACCGCGTGCTACGTGTTAAACCGAGCTGTCATTAGACCGATACTCAAGAAAACGCCCTATGAACTTTACAAAGGAAGAAAGCCTAACCTTTCCTTTTTTCATGTCTTTGGATGTAAAGTTTTTATTCATAATAATGGAAAAGACAACTTGGGAAAATTTGATGCTAAGTCGGATGAAGGAATTTTCTTAGGTTATTCTCTTCGTAGTAAGGCATATTGTTGTACCCGAGACCTGGGGTGGTCTAGGATATCAATTTAAGAAGTGAAAGAAGAAGAGAAGGTGTAGAAATATAGGGAAGGCTGAATTCAGGAGAAAACAAGGGAGAGGGAAAGAAGCATTTATCAAGTGAATAATAAGAGGAATCACACACACTTATCTTCACTCGGGTTAAACTCTTGTATTTAAATAAGGAATCACTCAACTTATTTAATATATCTAGAACCTAAAACTCCCACTTAAGAGAACCACTCTTAAGATATAGAATTAGGATTTAATATATAGGATTTAGAAAGAGAGAGAGCTGAGCAAGAAACTTATATTATCACAATATATATTTTACAAGCTCCTTAATACAATGAACCAGGGCTGAAATATATAGGCCATGGAATGGAGAAACAATACAACAAACATGATTACTTGATAAATAAAATACAACAAAGGAAACTTCCCACTTCTTTCCTACAAAATAAAACAAATGCTGTGCATGTGTTAATATCCCAAATGAGTTGAATTCAAGGCTAATGATCAGGGATTTGGCATGTATTTTGGGTGGTCTTAATGTATGATTTTCGTCCTTAAGGTGGGAGAATAAAGGAAACAACATGGCTTGACTTTTAGTGAGTAATAGGACAAGATATTACTATTCAATCAAAGACTTTTTGGGCAGGCACATGGATGAGGGATTAAGCTTTGTTTTGTATTGTAAAAGCCTTTGATTTTGTTGAGTAATAACATGGGAATTTCGTCCATATATAGTGGGAATGGTATGTAGCCAAGTGTGTTCCTAAATGACAAAACCTTTACTGTTAATTCAAAGACCACTTTACTGATTTCTGAGTTCAGAGCAGTGTGATAATCGATTATCGCCTACTGATAATCGATTAATAAGTTATGTCTTCTAACCCAGAACTTTCAGAGTTGTCCAATAGTCGATTAACATTTTAGAAACAATCGATTATCAAAGACTGGCTTCCAAACTGGATATTTTCAGAGATGAATAATAATCGATTATTAGTTGGTAGATAATCGATTACGGAGCATTGCTGGACTATGTTAGGAGAAATCAGAGGGAAACAATAGTCGATTATCTATATTGGATAATCGATTATCAAGACTTTAATAGAAGAAAAATAGCAAGCTAAGGTTTTGTTTTGTCTTTTGATGTTCACCTTCGGCCTAGGCTTAGTAATGAATAACAAAGACTTTATTTTGGACAGAGGAAATGAGTTTGGATGTTGTGGGAGAGGGTTTGTGGGTTATGATTTAGTTTAGGGGGGATTTTGGGCAACAAGGGCTAAGGGTTGGGCCTTTTGATGGGAAAAAGGAATGAATTCAACCCAATAAGGATTATAACACTCAAGCATTAACCCCTGATTTTTCTTACCCTTTTGTGATGCATGGTGGGGTACAACACATATAGAGTGTTCAACAAGCGTACTAAGACTCTAGAGGAGTCTATTCATGTTGTCCTTGATGAATTTGATGCTCGCTTGGCGAGAAAAGGTATTGTTGATAATGTTGCAGGTTCTTATGACGATGAAGAAGAAATCGTTAAGGAAAAGGAACCGGAAGAAGAGAAAACGTAGGAGCAAACGGAGCTTCCTAAGGAATGGAGAACGTTGAAGAATCACCTGATTGACAATGTCATTGGTGACATAACGCAGGGAGTTTCTACTCGTAATTCTCTTAAGAACACAATTAATCACATGGCCTTTGTTTCTCAAATTGAACCAACAACCGTTTTGGATGCTATTAATGATGAACATTGGTCTATGGCAATGCAAGAGGAGCTTAACCAATTTAAACACAATGATGTTTGGGAATTGGTGCCTAGACCTAATGATCATTCTGTTATTGGCACAAAATGGGTGTTTCGTAACAAACTTGATGAAAATGGAGTAATCACTAGAAACAAAGCTAGGCTTGTAGCTAAAGGCTACAATCAAGAAGAAGGCATTGATTATGAAGAAACTTATGCACCGCTTGCACGTTTAGAAGCTATTCGTTTATTACTTGCTTTTGCATCTACGATGGATTTTAAACTTTATCAAATGGATGTTAAAAGTGCCTTCCTTAATGGTATCATTCAAGAGGAAGTGTATGTCGAACAACCCCCGGGTTTCGAAGACTATGAGTTTCCCGAACATGTCTTCAAACGCAAAAAGGCGCTTTACGGTCTCAAACAAGCACCTCGTGCTTGGTATGAATGGTTAAGCAAATTTCTTTTGGACCATGAGTTCAAACGGGGTCAAGTCGACACTACACTTTTCATCAAGAAAGATAACCAAGACATCCTTTTGGTTCAAGTTTACGTAGATGATATTATATTCGGTGCTACTAACGAGGTTTTGTGCAGGGATTTTTCCGATATGATGCAAAGCGAATTTGAAATGTCGATGATGGAAGAATTAAAAGTCTTCCTTGGGCTACAAATTAGACAATGCAAAGAAGGAACATTCGTGTGTCAAACAAAATATTGCAGAGAATTGCTTAAGAGATTCGATGTTACCGAATCCAAATCCTTTGACACGCCAATGAGCACCTCTTGCTATCTCGACAAGGACGAAAAAGGTAAAGAGGTAGATATCAAACGCTACCGAGGTATGATCGGCTCTTTACTTTACCTTACCGCGAGTAGACCGGATATCATGTACTCCGTTTGTATATGCGCTAGGTATCAATCATGTCCTAAAGAGTCACACTTGGTTGCGATCAAAAGGATTATGCGATATCTCGCGGGCACGTTGAACGTAGGTCTTTGGTATCCCAAAGGTTCGACATGTCATCTTGTTGGCTATTCCGACTCGGATTTTGCAGGTTGCAAACTCGATAGGAAAAGTACCAGCGGTACTTGCCACTTATTCGGTCATTCGTTAATCTCGTGGTTTAGTAAGAAGCAGGTTAGTGTTGCACTTTCCACCACCGAAGCGGAATATGTCGCTTTTGGAAGTTGTTGTGCCCAAATTCTTTGGCTAAAACAGCAACTAGTGGATTTAGGCCTCATACTTGATCACATCCCAATTAGGTGTGACAATATGAGTCCTATTAGTCTATCGAAGAACCATGTTCTTCACTCGCGGACTAAACACATAGAAATTAGGCATCACTTCATTCGAGATCATGTCCAAAAGGGAGATGTCACAATTGAGTTTGTTGAAACGAAACCTCAATTGGCGGACATTTTCACGAAACCCCTTAGTAGGGAAAGTTTCTTCCACATTAGGAATGAACTTGGTATTTTGGACATCTCAATGAACTAATCTATTCGTGTGTTTATATTTACTAACTTGAGCGTCGGAGACGCAATAAATCTTTTTTGCAGGGTCTTTTACAGGTATTTCTCTTCTTGGCAAAATTTTGGGTTGAAATTGATGATTTTTTTTGAGAAAATACCGTTCATTGTAAACCCTTTCAAAACAAATGTTTCAGCACCCTTCAAAACTGATTTTTGGCCTTCACTACTATCTAATCGATTATTTGTTACTTCTTCTAATCGATTAGTTGGGTCTGAGTAATTTTTGGCTTGCGAAACGTATTCTAATCGATTAGGTAACTTCTAGTTTAATCGATTAGGATAGTCAGAGCGAGTTACTGCCTCTGCTCATCATTCTAAATCGATTAGCCGTTCTTACGCTTAATCGATTTATTCATCGTTTCAGCGCATCAAATATCCAATCTGAAGCAAATCAGATCTAAACCATTTTTCTTCCACAAGCAGCGACGAGCACCCACGAACCCTAGGTTCGATTTCCTCACTCTTTTCTTCAAATTCTTGGCCAAATTTCTTTGAATTTCTCCCAAATTCATCTTCAATTTCATCAAAATGCCAAGGAGAAGACCGGAAAAGCCGCCTTACGTCCCAACCTTAGGTGCGATTTGGAGATTGGACGGCCTAACCTACGTCCATACACCATCCAACATCTGTTTCGCCAACACCACGGATGTTGAGAAGTTCCAAAAAGAGTTTCTGGACAGGGAGATTATCTCACCGAAGATCGTTGAGCCGACCCTCTTCAACGACGTAACCAATGCCCCGTGCAAAGCTCCTTTCCAACGGCAAGGTTTGCTAATGTTTATCTCTTTGAAATACGACTTTTATTGTCCTAATCTCATTCGTCAATTTTATTCAACTCTCTACATCACTCTCGGAGATAGTCTGGACTTGGTTGCTCACGTTGACGGCAAAACCTTTACGGTTACCGCCAAGACCTTGACGGCTATTCTTGGTCTCCGTCAAGGTGACGCCCGTGGAAATTTTGACAACACTTTTGAGGACAAAGCCATTTGGCAACAACTCGGTGTCCCTTTTCATAGGCTTTCATACGCCAACTCCTCAAACCCGAGTGTCACCAATCTCACTTTGACACAACGGGTTCTTCAATACATTTTTTGTTATGTCTTGTTGCCTCGAGACTCAAACCATGGCGTCATTAACAAGGATGATATCCGCTTGTTTCATGTTCTTTTGAACGACATCAAATTTGATTGGATCCATTTCTTTCTCATTGCTCTTCGCGTCGTGATGGCTCTCGACTCCATCACCTTCGTTTTGCCGTCCCTATTATGCTTATCCTTCTCAATTCAGGAGTAGACTTTTCACGCGACATAAGGGTACCGGTGAAGAATACGTGCTTCATCCAAGAGACGAAGTTCATCCGTGTCGTTTGCCGGAACGAGGGTGAAATGCCTCAACAAGGAGTGATCGAGCAAACTGAAGGCATCCTTGAGAGTGAAGCCGAGACTGAGGCCGTTCGTAGCCGCTCTAGAGCAGGACCTAGCAATGCTGGTGAAGGAACAAGCAATGCAGGGGAAGAAACTAGCCGAGCCGCGGTAAGAGAAGCCCGACGCCGACGCCCAAAACCGAGAGCGGATGAGACCGAGCCTTCTTGGGTCCGGAAGATTTTGGATGCCATCACATGTGTTCGTGACGACATCAGGCATCTTACCGATTGAGTCCCCCGCCTTGAGGATTCCCGCCACTCTCGCTCATACCGAGGTCCACATCATAGCTTTTCCGGAGGACCTAGGCCGGCAAATTCTCTTTGACCTTGTTTTTTAAGCTTTAAGGAATAATGGTTGTTTTTTTTTCATGACTTGATTCTTGTTTACGACATTATGATAGCTCCTTGTTGGATGTTTGTTTAAACTCCAATTATTACTGCTTATGTGATTGTTTGGCAATATGTTTCTCTCCTAGAACATATTGTCCCTTTGAAAATCAAATTGCATTAGTTCACTTTTTAAGGGAAACTCTTGCAAAATTTTCGAATTTTTTTTTTAAATTTTTTTTGGCTATCCTTAACTATCCTGGCTTAGCTTAAGGGGGGAGGACCTTTTGATAATGCCAAAAGGGGGAAGGAAGGATAGTTGAGAAAATCTTTTCAAAACGTTTTCCGCTATCACTCCGTTTTACTTCCATTTACTTCTTACTTGCAAGGGGAACTCTTCAATCAAAGGAAAGTTTTTTTCTTGACTCTTTTGCTCTTATCTCAACTATGTTTGTCATTATCAAAAAGGGGGAAATTGTTGGACATGAGTTCAAACCCTTTTAGATATATTTTTTTGGAAATTAATCTTTCAGGTTTTGATAAATGACAAACGCTACGAAGAACGAAAATTTAATTTTCGGTTCAAGAAAGCAAAAGACACATCAAGAAATTCACAACGACTACCGTTCATTGTCCCTACGCAAGATCTTGAAGTAAAGAGAAGCTTTCCGAAGACTTTTATTTCTTTGAGTCTAGGAAATTTGTAAGGATGACAAAATATCTTTTTACTTATAAATTTACCTTTTTGAGGGATATTCATTTAAAAACCTATATTTATTTTTGGAGTCTATTTAAAAAAAATTCTTTAATGATTCAAAAATAAATCTATTGACTCAGTTAAAAAAGATGTGTCAAACAATTTTAAATATTTCTTTTGATAGTAGAAAAATACTTTTGGGAAGCAAAAATACTTTTACTCCAGATTTTTTTTTGACATCGTTTGACACACAAAATATTTTTTGGACTCAATTTTTATACCCTTTATCTCAAATCACCCCATTTATTCAAAATTATTTTTTGAATAAACTTAGGATTTGATTGGGAGCCTTTGTCTCAAGAATCATGATGGGAACAACAAGATAAGGACAATTTCCTTCTCTATCTCGCCCCTGGTTGATTTTTGCTGTCGCTGAGAAATTCGCAGTATTAATCGATTTTCTATTTGTTTGAAAATCGATTTCTTCTCTGTCGCTGATTGGGTTTTCTCGCCCAGTTTTTTAATCGATTTCTTCACATCTTGGGAAATCGATTTCTTTTAAAAATCGATTAAACAAGTTCAAATTTAATCGATTAGCCACCTTAGCGCAGAAGAAATTTTACTCAGAAGCATCTAATCGATTTTCCCTCTTTGAACAAATCGATTTTTTCTGTTGAATCTCATACTTAGCCAATTTCTTGCCCCAACGGACATAACCTTCTTTCACCTATATAATCCCTCTTCTTCCTTCATTCAAAACACAATACAAGCACTCCAATCCTCCCATTCATTATTTTTTATTCTTGCTCCATCTCTTGATAATCAAATACTATTTTGAGAGCTAGATTTATATATATATTATTTCTTTTGAGTGCAAAGATATTGTCATCCATAGAACTTACATTTTAAACACTACTTGCTCTTTTGTGAGCTTCATTCTTGTGTCGTAAACTCAATCTTATTTGAGTGGTGTTCTTAAGACTTGTGTGACTCAAGTCTTGTTGTTGTAAGAAAAGTGAGGCTTGTGTGATTCAAGTTCTCAAGTTGTACCGGTTTTTCAAGCACTCGTTGAAGCTTGAAGATTAGTAGGACTTTTGAGAGAGTCTCTCGGAGGACTGGACTAGCCACGAGGTGGTGAACCAGTATAAATCTTGGTGTTCTTCTTTCCCCTACTCTTTTTATTTATTCCTGCGATTTTATTATTTCACACACGCGAAAAACACACATTCTTGAAAACAACTCTATTCACCCCCCTCTACAGTTGCACATTTGTCTAACAATTGGTAGAGGGTTCATACTTTAACTTTTAATTAATCTTTTACTCTCCCGAACATCACCCCTTCGTTCACTACTTTTTCAAAACCGAAGGGGGTCTATCTTGGGAAGCATTTGAAGTTACTATGGCTTCCTAACTTCAAACGCTTCAAGGGTGTTTTCCTAGGGAAGCACCTAAAGGAATTTCTTTTAAAAATAAAATCGTCAAGCTAATGACGTTAAAAGAGCGCTTCTTGGGAGGCAACCCAAGCTTTATTTATGAATTTAATTGCTTTCTTTTACTTTCTTTCAATAATGAGCTCCCTAACTTTCTACTTTGAGCTTCTCTTTGTGGATTGTTTTGTTTGGATATAGGTACGGGGCTAAATAAAGAGAAGTTGGGAGATTTTGACCATGAGGGTCATTTTTGAAGATCATATTTTGGCTAATGAGGCCTAAGGGGTTGATGGATTAAACACTCGAGCTTCATGGATCATGACAACAACACAATCTTTTTCACCATTTCTCACTTGCTTACGGAGTTTGCTTTTCTCTTCTCTTTCACTCTATGCTTAGTTTGTGTTTGGGGACGCCTTGACGTTTTCTTAGCATATGTGTGAAAGAGTATTATTATGTGCTTGTGAGTTTTGAGTTGAGATGTGCTTCGTTGTCTAGTTGTTGTCATATTATGTTTTAAGTAGAGTTGCATTGATTCCCTCCCACCCACCCTTGCTCTTAATTGTTAATTTGTGCTTTCCACACTCTTTGCCCTCTTGTTTTTCATGTCTCTTGACACCGAGGACGGTGTCTCAATCTAAGTGTGGGGGAGTAGTCAAGACTTTAGTCTTTGGGCTAGTGTGCTAGCTTATGTTTAGTTTATATCATGTGGTGAATCTTGTATATGCTTGTGAATATTGACTTAGACACGTTCAAGAGTGTTTCTTAAATGTTTCTTTGTGTTGTGAAATCTCTCGAGAATCACCGTTTTTGACCCGTGAGTGTTAGAGCTACATTATGCACACACCCACACCTTGAGGAACAAAGTGATTGATGCACAACTCCATCCCCGTTTCTCCTCATTTCCCCATGACCCTCACTTATCCATATTACCCATTTTCTTACCTGAAAAGAATTCATTGTGTTGATTTTTCTTGATGGAGAGCTCTTGGTTGGGAATATTTTTAATGATGCTTGTTGATTGGTTATTTGCTTTAGTTGAGCCTTGATAGGCGTATGATTGCAAATGGATGATCTTGGCTTTGTCTCATATGCTACCTTATCATGCACGCATTTCCTTAGCGGGGGACTAGTATCGCACCATTAAACAACACCAGTGGATATGCAATCTCATGTGTGTATGCTTTGGTAGCATCTACTATTGTATTGTAATGCACATTTTACCCTTTTGGGATATTAAATAAATAAAAAAAATTAAATAAGTGCGCAATTGAGTAATGAGACATACGTGCTTTTGCTTGCATTCTTGGAGTATACCTCAATGGAGGGTTGAGCTCCGAAATGTAACTTGCTTCACCCAAAACGCATGAGCCATATATGATAGTCTCCTAAAGTGGATTCCTTGATACTCGTATCACATCTTTTCATCAACCTTGACTTCTCTTGATTGCGGGTTAACACTTTGGATTTCTTTCCCACACCGACAAAAACTCGTGCCATCTCATTTCATGTCTCCATCCATCTCTTACCCTTATCCATTTCTTGTCCCTTCACCATCCATCTCTTATCCTTCTCCTTCATCTAATAAAAGACCTCTTGATTGTGCTTACAGGTTAGGTTGTCCTCTTGATTGTGCTTAGAGGTTAGGTTGTGAGCAATTAACTTTAAGTGAAAATATGAGCGAATGAGAGTAATCTTGTGAGCTTGTGTGTTTCTCTTGGGTTTTCAATTCATGAAGAACCATCTTTGAAACTTTCTTGAGTTGTCTTGGTTGATATTCTGTGTATATACTTGATTCTTCCATTTTATATAGGTTAACATGAGTGCACATTTGTCTCAATTTGATGACTTTAGTTCTTGATTGCTTAAGGACAAGCAATGATTTAAGTATGTGGGAGTTGATAAGTTTGTTATTTGTCATATATTTTATTATCTTTTGATAGACTTAGGCTCTGTTCTGTTCAACTTATTTTTTCTGATCTGATCTGATTTTCTATAGTTCTAATATGAATCTGATCTGGTCTGATCTGATCTGATTAGATCTGATCTGGTCTGATTGGATCTGATCTGATCTGATCTGATTGGATCTGATCTGATTAATTATGATTGATTTAAAATTCAAATAAATAATATTTGTTTAAATATAGAAATTTTGAATGATTTGTGGTTATGGATTGATTTTAGAGTCCAATTACAAAGAAAAGGATTGAATTGCAAGCAAGGATTACATTGTGGGGCCATTTTAAAATTTCTACAAGTTTTATTTCCCCAAATCAAATGCTAATCAGACGGAGACGGAGGGAATCGCGACATCCTACGCGACCCGGAGCTAATCGCGACCAGACCCAGCCGCAATCCAGCATCCTCCAGCGGCGACGACGAGTTTCCGACACCGAAGAGCAGAGGTGACGACGGCGACCTCCGGCGAGCCTCCAGGCCAAGCGACGGGCAGCAGCATGGGGAGATTTCCAGACCTAGCGACCCGACCCGGACAAACTGACGAACCACCGGCGACAACCTGCGAGGCTCCGACCAGGGCTTCCCCCCTGCTCCGGCGACGAGCATTACTGGCAGCTGACTCCCTCTTTCCGTTGATTGCACCGAGTCCAAACCAGCGAGGACAAGCAAGAGCAAACCCAGATCCAATATGGCGTGTAAATTGACCCATTTACCCTTAAATTCTACTCCTATTAGTTATATCCTTATTGGTCATTTCATTCCCAATTTCTTCTACTCTATATATACTCCCCTTGCTCCAATTGCTCCAATTGTTAAGGGAGACCACCATTTCTTTTCATTCCATGTTTTAGACTAGGGTTTATTCATCTTCATCACCATCTCTTTTCATTTTGGGAGCTCCAACCTTAATATTATCTCTTTAATATTATTTAGTTGTTTCTTAGTGTTAGATTATTAATTTCTTCATCTCGTTTATGCCTTTAGTTTATTTTCTTACTCTCTTATCTTTTATGCATCTCATAAGTTTAAGCATGCTAGGCTAGATTTTCTAGCCTAGGTTAGGGATGAATTGTTGATTTGTGCTTGTCGTTGATGAATTGGTGTGAGATATGAGATTTTAGCTTAGGGATGTTTGTAGGGATTGTGTTATATCTATCCTTGGATGTTATTGTTGGCCATGATGATATTCTTGTATTCCAGAGTGAGTTCTAAATCGTCGAGGAATCAGGATTTAAAGGGGTGTATTCAATTCCGACTCTGCATGATTTTTTTGGATTTTAAAAGTTAATGAGTATTCAATCAAGATTTTGAAAAGTCATTTAAAATTTTGAGATATTCAATTGAGATTTTAAAAAATCTTTCTAAATCTAATGATATTGAAAAATTGACAGATTTTAAAGGATTGTAATAAACAATAGATTGTGATGGATTGTGAGGTTGAAGTATAAATAAAAAAAATTGCTTCCAAATCCATTCAAAAGGCCAGGGATTTTGTGAGACTCCAGAGCCGGTTTCTTTCTCGGTTCATCTTCTCCATCTTTTCCGTCGGCGGATCTTCATCTTCTTGATCTCCTGCTTTTCCGGTAGAGCTTCCGCCTCTTACTCCTCATCTCCTTCCCTTTCTTCCTCTTTTCTCCATCTCTCCAGGTATGTCCTCTTAACACCATCCTTCTTCATCTCTGTCCCCTTTATTCTCTTTTGGTGTGTTCAATTATAGATTTCTAGGTTAATATGGTTATACCCTCTATGTGTTTGAAGAAATGTCAAGAAGAGTTGTTCTTAATATGTTAAAGAATTGTTAGAATCTATTTCAAAGATTATTTTGGAAATAGTTTCTCGAGATTTCATTATGCACCGGATGGAAGATGAACTTTGAAACTTTGTGGGTTAGTCTTGTTTGTTTTGGGATTCAATTTTATATGCATTATTCCAGTTGGGAAATGATATTTATGGCCATTATAAGTGCTCTGTGTTGTGCTTGGTTGTTCTGTTTTTTACATTGGCGTATGTACTCCGTAGTACTTTTTTCCTGATAAAAATGCATTATGCCTGGTTGAGTTCACTTATCAATGTGTGTGTGTGTACTTATCTTGTTTGGATAATAACAATAAACTACAGAAAGAGTTTTCTTTAAAACCAAAACGATCAAAGAACAAATATATCTGTGGTTGAGTTTTCTTTTACTTATTATCCACTTATCTTGTGTGTGTACTTATTCTTGTTAAATCCAAAACGATCAAAGAACAAATATACCTTGTGTTTCTTTAAGTGTACTTACATTAAAATGTTTGTTATGAGTATATGTCATCCTACTTTTATTTCAGGAAAATATTTTTTGGTTGACTGTGGATTTGCTAATCGACGACAATTTTTAGCACCATTTCGAGGTGTCCGATATCATCTTAAAGATTTTGGAGGTCAAGGTCGTCACCCCCGAAATGCAAATGAGTTGTTCAATCTTCGTCAGCACCATTTCAAGACTACACAACTTTCTTCGTAAAGAGTGTCGTTCTGATGAATTTCCTCCAGAACCAGAACTAGAGTCGTCTTCTTCATCATATCTGGACATGGAAGAAGAAAATTTTGAAATACTTTCTCAAACTCAACAACAACAAAGAACAGAAGCTAACGCTCGGAGACATGGCATTGCTGAAGCTATGTGGGGCGACAGAGAAAATTTTGAAATACTTTCTCAAACTCAACAACAACAACATTTTATTGTTTGCTCTTCCACACATCATTTATTTGTTTATGACATGTTCTTGATTCTTCATCTACCACTTATATTGTTTTTTTTGGTTTTTTGTTTTTTTGTCTATGACTTATGGTGCCATGTGTGAATTTGGTTCTTGGTTTTTCTCTAAAAAAATTCTTATTTCTTCATAAATTTAATGGGCATTGTTACTAATATTGAGATACTACTATGTGCTCCCTACATCCAATTTGAAAGTTTATAGACGTCATTTTTGTTTATCCCGTTAGAAACTTCACGCTTTCTTTTAACCTTTTACTCTATATCACATCAAACTAATACCCCACCCCGGATTTAAATCAACCCCTTTATCCTCTCTATTTTTTATCACTTTTCAACTCACACAACCACTTTTCAATTACTACTCTGTTTTACTTTTTGGTCACACGAGGAGTAGTCAGAACCACAGTTCAAAATTTAATTGGTGGTCAACCAAGTGGTCCAGGCTTTGGACCGAAGACTGAAATGTTCATGTGAAGTGTGAACAGTCACATGATCGACTAAATGATCGACTATAGAAGTCAATAGATGAACCATTCCATAGGAAGATTATTTTTCTGCTTTTTAAAAACATCATGGAATAACAATTCATAAAAGAACTAGTAGTTGTGGTTCACCATGCACTTTTCTTGAGAACCATAAAACATTGAGTGAGGTTGTTCGTGCACACTTGAAATATTATTAAGCGCATTTATATATTTGTCAACATCAAAGCAGAGGCAGATCCACTTGGAGTCCTACGGGGTCCCAGGACCCCACGGACCTCCACGTAGGATATTATATATATTAGGTATTTTTTTATTATTGTTATATATATAACCAAAAGCGCTAGAAGAAAACGTGTTGTATGTGCTCGAGTGGTCAGACACGTGTTGTAGTTTTCAATTGGTTGTGGGTTTGATCCTCCTTTCATCAAACTTGAGTAATTTTTCTATATTTGTTTAGTATTCTTTTTTTAGTACTCCGTAAAGAAAACCATCCATAGAAAAGACAAAAAAAAGTTTATTCACTTTTTTATATATTCATTCAAATATTCTTTTTACTATTTTCTTTCTCTTTTTTAAAAAATGATTTATTTTACAAAATATTTATTTCTCTTCAAAATATGTTCAAATTATATAATTTTCACCTTTTAACAACTTTTCAAATTTTGTATATGCTTAATTATATGTAGTATCAAAATACAGAATATTTGAGTTGTAATGATGAATTTTATATTTTTTTATGATATGCTTTATTTACTAAGATTTTGGTAACTAAGCTTTAAGAAAAATGAATGTAGTGAAAATGATACCAATCTCAATGATCCACAGTATTCAAATCCTCCTTAACAATAAAAGTTGTTCGTTCTTAGAAAAACAAAGCATTTAATGAATAGTGAAGTTATGAATTCTAATCTTTAAAACTTATGTAAAAAAGTATATATAGGAATATGCCCAGAAACAATTTCAGCATTTAGCATTAATGTTTTGAAAAGTTTACCTAACAATAGCGTTTGACTTTACTATTTTTAAAATTAATTTATATATTTAATTTTTTCAAAACCGCTAACACTAATATTTGAAAATGTTATTTTCAAACAAAATCTAGATCTAAACTTTCTTCATTTAAAACTTTTCACAAGAAACCATCATTTATAACAATTGAGTTTTGTTTATGCTCTAACAAGCCCCCAAATGAGTGGACAAATTTTGTTTATGTTGAGTCTTGTATGTGAATATTAATTATTTTTAATTGTGTAGTGGTAAGATTTAAACTTGTGACTTCTAAGTGAGTAAAACTTTGATATCATGGAACAAATTCAACCAGAATATTAAAGTTGTGCTTGTGGATATTATAACAAATTTTATCTTTTAAGGGTTTCCAATGCAAAATTTATGACTATAAAAAATCTATTTGATAGTACATATTTTTAGTTTGTTTTAAATAAAATTTAATTTGAATAACAAAAACTTAAACAGGACCCCATGGCCCGAGATTCCTGGATCCGCCTCTGCATCAAAGCAAGATCATGTTGGTCTTATGGGGGACCATCGATCACACTTAGGGATTCGCTACTGTGCTAGTCACGGTATCGGATACTGACAGCCCAACCTGACGAGGTACACGAGTCGTGTATCTTGCGAAGCCCCTCCTGTCCATCCACCGCTCAGTAGTGGGGCTCCGCACTGCCGTAGTGAACTATAGGGGGTGCCCTATAGGAATCTACCTCGGCTTGGGGCTACAGAGAGATGTGGTTAAATACAAAGTGTCCACCTTTCTATCACCAATTGGTTTTAGGAAGCATTTGGCACCTCTTTAACTTCAGAACTCTGCCGTTAAGCGTGCTAGAACGGGAGTAGTCCCAGGATGAGTGACCCACTGGGAAGTTCCAGAAAAACGATCCTACACATTGACGAACTAGACATACAAGAAGAATAGTTGAGAGACAATAACCGTTTTAGTTGTAAAAACAAATTTATTGCTTATGGCATTGAGCACTACACGTAGTATTATTTTATTCTAACAAACATATTATGATGATGAAAAAGTTTTTAAAAAATAATTTATATTTATTTTATTATAATCTTCTCAAAATTTTTAATAGCTAATTACAATAGTTGATTTACAATAATGTATAATTTTATAAAGTAATTCTTATTTATGTATAAATAATATATGGATTATAAACAATCAGACAGAATCCTATAAAATCCTGCTGATAAAATACATTAAAATCTAACAAACTCTGCTTAGACTTAAAATAATCCATGGATTTTACATAATCCATAGACTTTAAACAATGTATCGAAATCTTTCAGAATCGTGATTGAATACACCCCCCTTGGACTCCTAGATTTTACATGATTTGATTGTCGGTTTTTTATCACAATGAAACCGACTCAACTAAGTCTTCAAATCTTGATCTTGTCCTTGAGTCTCTTGGTCTTGTTCCATGTCTTACTTCACGCCTTGAGTTATTCAACGAAACTCTTCATATCCACGGCGGTTTGGCAATTATCAAAACATGTCACAAACGAACATGACTTTAGTTCAACGCAATATAAAGTGTGTTCCAACAATTTCCCCTTTTTGATAATGGAAAAAAAATACGGGGATATGCATAGGTTTTTTTTTATCTTTTTTAAAAAAATTCCCCCTTAATATATGCATAGTCCTTATCTTCCCCCTTTTGACATTAACAAAAAAATTTAAAACCATAAAGATTTTATTGATTAAAGGGAAATGCGGAGTACACTACGGAAGCATAAAAAATGATAGGAAGAGAAAAGAAAAATGAGCTAGAGCTTTAGAAGTCCTCCGAGCAAGAGTCATCTTGATCGTCTTCTTCTTCTTCTTCATCGCTCTCGTCTACGTCCTCTGTGTCTTCATCACTTTCTTCCTCATTTTCCTCTTTCTCAACCTCAATGTCATTCAACCCACTTGATTGACCCTCACCTCCAATGTTTGAGGGATTGGTGTAAGGGACAAGTTGGGCGTAGGGGTAATTGACGAAGTCAAAGTACCCATGTAGCTCTCGGCTTAATGTATTCACATTTTGAGCCGTTTGAGTGACGTTGGTGTCAATCCTGGATGGAGTGGCTATCAAGGCAGCCATTTGCTCCGACAGTGATTGAGAGTTTGAGGAAGGTTCCGGAGCTTGGCGGTGAGCACGAGATGGAGGGAAAGGAGCTTCATCATTGCCTGAATGGAAGGACGACTCGTCGATCTCCCAATGATTCGTTCCCTTCTGTTTTGGCCCAACATCCGTCTTGATATTGTATTCATCAAGGAAGTCCATAACGAGAAGAGCGTAGGGGAGAGGCTTGTCCTCGGAGGTAGCACCAAACATGTGCGTCATCACAAATTTGCACCAATTGATGCTTACATTGTGAATCATTGCATGAAGAGTCTTGGTGTCCTCTTGGGTAAGCGCCGTGTGGTTATACTTTCCGGGCTTGAGAATTCGTGTCAAGGCATAGAAGATGAATTGATACACGGGATTCATGGAGGTGATGGTCTGTCGGCGCTGCGAAGGAGTGGGGGTGAAGTTCCTGATGCCGATTTCTTCCAAAAGAGCGGCTTCATTGAAACGAGCCCCTTCTTCGCCCACGTAGCGATCGAGATCATCCCCATCACGGCGTAGCCTGGTTAAGATTTGAAGATTTTCCTCGCTCAAGTAAATGTCGACGCCATTGACATTTGAGATGAGCGCCCCATCTGCCTATGGACGAAGGCAGTGGCTAAAGGCTTCTCTTCTCTGGCAGCGAACTGACGAAGAAACAGAAGATAGCACATGGGAAACACTTTGTTCTTCTAATTTCATTTCTTTAATCAGACTTTCTTATTTATAAATTTCTCAATTTATGAATTTGTTTGTCTAATAGTTAATACTCCGTTTATGTTTATGTTCAATTTCTATTCATTTTTATTAGATGTTAAAGTTATATTATAAGTGCTTAATTGTTTAAATGTTGAGCTTAATTTTGAATAGTCTAAATTTGATTTATTGATTATTGTCTCTGAAATTACAAAACTTTCTTAGGCTAAATTGTTTGACAAAAAAAAGATTGAATCTTTGTTTGCTGGATTAATTTGATTTTGAAGATATTTTAGCTATAAGCTACTGTTAAATCTAAACTCAAAAAAGTGTTCTGAGAACTCTTCTTTGTTTATGCTTGAATTGGACTCAATTAGGAGTGCACGCTTAATCCAATTTAAAATGATATTCTTTTAAAGTCCAAAGTGCTTTAAATAGCTGAACTTTTCTAGAAACTAAGTGTCACTTGATTATTACTTGCCTGCCTCATTAAGTGGTTTTTGGTAATCAAGGTTCTCGAACTGATTTTGTTAAATAATCTTCGTGTTACTACAAAGTTTTTATGGTGATGTTTTCCACAAATCCTAATTCCCTATTCTTAGTAGTAACTTAAGGGTTGGTCTTTGGGTTGCTAAGGATAGTAGGGTTTAGAGTTAGGATTGGTCCTAACATGAGCTAATATGAATGGGAGAAAAGGAAAGAACCATTGGTGAACCTCTTCTTCAGCCTAACACTGAGTTTAATTAGCAGTTTAGTTTTAGAATCAAGGCATAATTAATTAGTTAATCAGATTTGTTCAATTTAATTTCTATTAAAAACTATAATTATTTTCAAAATGGTTTAAGTTAATTATTACTATCTATGTTTTTATAAAATTTATTGTGTGATTGTTTTTGTGTGTTTGTTTTCTCCCTGAGTGTTACTTCTAAGTTCGAGTCGCTGTTGTGGTTCTATCTCTTATCTTTTATCTTTATTTTATTTGAATTTTTATTTTTTTATAATTATCATTCAAACCCCTCATATCTTTAAGTTTTAGTTTTATTAAATTTTAGTCAGTTGTTTTTATTCATAAAAAGTGACAAGCAAATTGACTTTCATAATAATATAAAATATTTTTTCTCGTGGGATTCACCCTTACTTGCCCTATACAAGTGTTTTAATGAATATTAATTCATAAAGGGGTTGAGAGTAAAGGAAAAATAATAAGTAGGAGCTAGGACAAGCCTATCACCGGATTAGTACAGCCCCAACTCTAAAACCCGCACAAAAGATCAGCAGATCACCAGGTTCGCCAAAAATGCTGCCATTTACACTGTCAACGAGATCTCCAAAAGCAACCCCATCGGTAATTACAAACCAGGGGAAACCAAGAAAGAAACCAGGCGGTAGAGACTGGCCCAACACGTTCGCCGCCTACGGTGCCCTTCAGCCGACCCCGCAGCACCTCAGAACCAGGGGTTGAAAACCTACCGACGGTGGCCGGCGCACTCTGATGTCCTTTTTTGGCCTCTAGAAGAAAGGCAACGACGGTGCAAAGGAATAATAATGGGGCAGAAATCCAAGATGCAGACCTATTTTTGGTTGAGCAAAGCAAAAGTGATAATGGGGAGTTGTGCTTTCCAGCCTGTGGAAAAGAAGTCAGATATGATAGCTCACATGGGGAGAGATTAATCAGAGCACTCCACATTATTATCTCCATACCAAAAACAATAAAGGGGCTAAGACCGAAATTGAGACCACTAAGTGGGTCCCTGATTTCCTAATTATGAATGGTGAAATGAGCAATTAAAAACATAAGTGTTCTTTCACCATTATTTCAACTATTCCCTATTTATTATTTTTTAGCATTTTATTAGTATCATCATTGCTATCAACAACAACAACAACAACAACAACCCAGTTAAATCCCACGAGAGTAGGGTCTGGGGAGGGTGTGTGTACGCAGACCTTGCCCCTACTCGAAAGTAGAGAGGCTGTTTCCAAAGCACCCCCGGCTCAACGTCGAAAGTTGCATTGCTTGACTAACTGCTACTTCATTAATTAAAGAAGCCCAGACAGTTTAGAGATCCATTTTGATTTATTCCATCACACCCCAAAGCCAAAAAATGGTGAAATTTTGGCTTGAGTATCATCATTGCTATCATTTACTCTATTATCATTACCATTACTCTGTTCACCATGCGTGACCAGATCTGACCTTGAGAACGGTACTACACTGTGTGCTCAACACTTTAAGCCCTGATGTGGGACGGGTGTGAAGCTTAATCTAACACCCCACATAGTCCAACGACCTGCCTCACGACATGGCTCAGATCTAACTCATTTGTTCGCTCCTTAACGAGGCCGGGTAAAACCTCTCTACAAGGTTTTGAAGGTCGCCCGCGATGACATTTTCGCGAGGCCGAGGTAAGACATCCACTGTGATGCACTCCCATTTTTCTTTCACGATGCGATCCTTTTTCCTCTTCTACAAGGCCGAGGTAAGCCCTCCCCACGAGGCACTCCAGATCATCCGCGACGATATTATTCGCGAGACCAAGGTAAGCCGTCCTTCTAGACGCACTCCTAACTATCTTCTACGACGTGAACTTTTTTCTCTCGGATCTAAGGAGAGGGGCGCATCATTTGTGACTATCTCACTTACCCGACTAGCTCCCATTTGAAGACCCCGGCCTCACTGAGGATGACTTCAAGGTTTGTCCTAGTCCAGAATACTACACGATTGGTCCACGTCTCTGACTAAATCTATCTTTTGTCCAAAACTTTTGGACTCAACTAACACGTTGACTTAGTTTTCTCGGCTGCGTGGTGGTCGGTCTTCCTGAGCCCACAAGCGCGTTGTATTCTTTTTTTGAAATTATTTTTCAAATTTGAAGGATGAAAAGGCCGAGGTCGGCCTCTCCCAAGGTTGGCCTTAGCCACCTTATGAGGCACTCAAGCCCTCATCTTCCCGAAGCACTCCTTATTTCCTTCCCAAGGTAAGACAATTTGTGAAGAGAAGTCGTAGCAGAACGGGGGGACCAAAGACTCCTGCCGGAGCCGAGCATAGACACTACTCCTCTTCACCTCAGAATTCTTCCTCAGCTTAGGGAATGGAGACTTCAGGTGCTCGGCTCGTGATTGTCACGTCGCACATTGAGAACTTGGCAGATCAGCATTCCGACCTTACATTGCACTGCAGCAGTTCGTTTCGGCATGCACTCATTGGCAATACACTATGACGAATAGTCCTCGACTGCGGACAACGAGTTTGGGGGACTTAGGAATCAGCTTTTCTCAGAATCACCCAGTTTTCCTTTACTACAAGACCTCACACCCTAGCAACATTTTTTCTTGGTTCACTTTGTGGGACAAGATGTACTCTTTTCTTGACCGAGAATTTTTTCTCATCCTCAAGGGTTTTTTCCTCGGTAAGTTTTAAATGAGGCAACCCCCATGGAGTGGGTCACACATTGAAGGGGCTGTGGGAGGATCCTTGAAGACGATAGATGGATTGCATATGATGACTTATTCATCCACTCTTATGGTGCTCGCTGTGCTCAGCGAAGCAATGATGTACTTGATATGAGAGCATGTCCTTTCAAGGCAATGAGCAGATTGGTTTTCTTTTCATTTTTTCACTCCGGACAGCAAGTTGGCATTACATTTTGGACAGATGGCGTAGTTGTGATTACTCCAACATACTCGGGACAACGAGTTAACAGTGCACTCGAGACAGCAGGGGTATACTCAGTGTCCTTCCGTGGTGGATTATTGTTCTACTTCCACTTCGCCTCGAGTTCCTCTTGACTCGGGAAGTGAGGGACTCATGATGGATACCCTGGACATAGGGTATTCGTACTTTGTATAATATTAGTCGGGGCAGTCCAGTCTAATGGACCAGCCTGTTAGTCGTACATTGATTACTTCTTTAGGGTTAGCCCAGCTAGTTGGGCCGGCCCATTGGTTTGTATATGGGCTTAAACCCTAACCTTGGCTCCCCTTATTTATACTCCTATTTCTAGAAGGAGATGGGGGATAAGACACACACACCACACACTATTCATCATCTTCTCCATTCAATTCAGACGATCACTGTTACTTTCGAGCTAACATAGTTTTCTTGACTCTTGCAACTTAATGCACTCAATACTCGTTCGATACTTTCCACCTAGTCTCTTAGGTCACGGGTTCTAAAACCCAACATGTTGGTTGTTGTTTTCATATGTTCTAAATTTAAAGTATGAAGTTGTTAAATGGCTCAATTAATTTACTTTGAAGAAATCTAGGAACTAAACTGAATGGTAGTGGCAAGCCATGCCATGGGAATAAAGAGATTGGAGCTATATGGTATCTGCTGGGTCCAATGAATATTCAGGTTGAAACATGCACAAGGGGATATATGAACTGTCGTTCCAAAAGGGACCGGGATCTCACCCACCACCTAACGAGGAACTCCCATGTCGGTTTGAGCTTGACCGTCGTTCCGAAGGAGAAGGTCATGACTCCATGGGCAAGTCGTAACAAATAAGCCTTAGCCAAAAATAGGTTTTGAGCTAAGGACATATGCTAGGTGACTATAATAGTAAGTATGTTATATTCATGTTTGATAATAATATCCCTTGTTATGCAATGCTTGTGATGTTATTTATATTATCTGTGTATCCATGATATCGTATGATATTGTGAGCTAGTGAGTTCATTTATATGTATAGTCGAATGTTAGATATTTCTTATTTAGCGCCAATGTTGAGCGTGTGGCATTTGTTCTTTTGCAACACATAGGTAATCAAGGTCAAGATAAATTTGGACCCAATCTCGGAGGGCGATAAGGACGAAGAGATGTGCGTGGGAGTTTTTGATTACTCTTAGTTCTTATTTAGTTTTGAATAACTAGAGCATTACTTTTACGGGCTTGATTCCCAAGTTACAAGTGGCAACAAGGTTAGAGTGTTACAGGTGATAACCAGATTGTCAAACTCCTTTAAGTTTGACAGGTTGGTAGTGAAGGCTCAACACAATTGTTCAAAGACTTGATGTAGACATTAGGCCAAGCTAGTATATATTGTTGTGTTCTTTGTTATTTTCCTTCACTTTTATATGTTTGTGATATGTTGGTTTTGATCGAAAATTTGCAAGAACGATTCTACAAAAAGTCGATCATTTGGACAACACATTTACTCACCCCTTTAGTGGTGTGCGTTTTCTATCAACGCCTACAGAGTAGGAAAAAGTAATTGTGTGGCGACTAAAGAAATATTAGGGCAACTCAATATATATATACTCTATGTACATTTACAAATTACAAGTCACAAGTGGTTTTTGTATAAACTATTTTCCACCCGTCTTCCGATATAGTTTCAAAAAGTGATTGTTTAGGTGGAAACAAGTTACCCGATTAACCTTGAGTTCAGAGCTGAATTTATGGGTTGTGGGTGACCTAAATATTTTGTGTAAACTATTTTGATGGTATAGAATTCTTCAAGTACTCCAAATTTCTCGGGTAACAATGTTGTCACAATATACAAAACAGTAGTAGTAGAGAGCACGCGTACTGCTATTATAATAGTCTAGGCCAAACAAACAATTTTGATGTCTAAAATTCAAAAGTTAAAAAATTGCTAAATGTGCCCCAACTTTAATTCTACTTTTAACCCCACTTTCTTACAAAAATTCAGACATGGCATTGTTCCAGTTCCATGTCTGTGGTGTCTGTAACAAGGGTGGGGGGAAAGGCAATGTCAAAATTGGGATCCCCCAAGCTCATTCGTATAGCTAAATGTCACGTGGCTTGTCTGGCGATGTCTTTCCATTCACAGCTACAAGCTCAGTATCAAAGATGAGAGTGGCACCACCTGAGAATATTCAGACACAATTTCAGATGGACTGTGACATGAAAAAAAATCTCAGGTTCTTTAAAATGCCATTAAGCTTGTAAGCGTATTTATAATCCAAGTGAAGCGACGTGCAACACTAATTCATTTGCTAGGAGGGAAATAATAATATAAGAAATGAAACATTTTGTATGTCAGAATGCCAAAGGATTCCTAACTAGGGCTGTTCACGTTTAGGTCTACACCGAAAAAACAAACCGAACCGGACGTTCGGTCCAGACCGAACCTGGACCGAATGGATTTTGGGTCGGTCTTCGGTCCAAAAATTTAAGAGTTCGGGTTTCGGTCTGGTCCGGTCAAAACCCAAAATGATTTAGGTCCGGACCGATTGGACCGAATGGACCTAATAACCTTATTGGACCTCAAAAAGACCTAAATATGTAAACTTTACTTTTTAAGTTCCGTAGTACATTTTGATGCTTTACTTGAATAGATATTTTAATTTATTTAATTAAAAAAGTTTTTCCTCAGAAATTAAAAAAAAGTTCAAAAAAAAGTTTCGCATTAGTTTTTATTATTTTACATAGAATTAGTCCATGTTGTGTATCTGTTTTCAAGTTGTCTATTTTTTTCCTATTTGTACGCTACAGAATAAAAAGCCTAAAATACATTTTTTTGAAAGACAAACCATCAAAACCTAAAGTATATTTAATTGATCAAAATAATTAAAAAAAATACATTTTTATTCGGTCCAATTGGTCGGGACCGGTACGGTCCTATGTATTTTGATCCGGTCCGGTCCAAACCCAAATAGATTTAGGTCCGGTCTTCGGTCCGGGATTTTAATCAATTCGGTCTTTGGTCTGGTCTGGGTCGGTCCGGTTCGGTCTGGTCTTGAACCGATGAACACCCCTATTCCTAACCCATGATTTCACCCTAGAAAAAATGGTGTTGTTACAACCAGTAGTATACAAAATTGGTTAATAGTATCACGATGTTTGAATGATTAGTAACATTGAAACTAAAAAGCCAAATTATTATTATGCTTCACAATAAGCTTTCTGAGTACTCCCTCCGTGCCATAAAAATCTTCACTTTCTTTTTTATCAATCCCAAAAAAAACTTCCCTTTCCTTCTAAAGAAAAGAATTTGTGGTTAAGAAAATTTATGTGTCCTCTTAACCAATACTAACCATTTTCCATCATCTCCGATGGAGCCAAAATTTCACCATTTTTTGGCTTTGGGGTGTGATGGAATAAATCAAAATGGATCTCTAAACTATCTGCGCTTCTTTAATTAATGAAGTAGCAGTTAGTCAAGCAATGCAACTTTCGACGTTGAGCCGGGGGTCTCTTTGGAAACAGCCTCTCTACTTTCAAGTAGGGGCAAGGTCTGCGTACACACACCCTCCCCAGACCCTACTCTTGTGGGATTTAACTGGGTTGTTGTTGTTGTTGTTAACCAATACTAACCATGTTTTTTTCATTTTTCAACAATTTTTAAACACCGTGAGAAGTTTTTATGGGATGGAGTGTTGTAGAAAAAAGATGGAACTTGGAAGTATTATTACCTGGAATCTTGGGTGGGGATCCACTTTCTCCATAACCAAGTTTAGAAGGTATTTTCAATTTTCTCTTCTCACCCACACACATTCCAAGGAGTCCTTGATCCCATCCTGTAGGGTCAAAACAACACTTTTTTAGAGAACGAAAAAACTGTGTAATCTTTTTTGAAAAGAAAGGAATGCCTTGGTTGAAATGCAAATATGTATGTTTGGAACTTGGATTTGGATTTGAAATCCAGATTTGGATAAAATTACATGTTTGGAAGCCTTAAAAATTTTAGATTTGGATTTAACACAAATTTGTCTAATTTATAACAAAGCTCAATTTGAAATCCATATACCTCCTCTTGTCATTTGAAATTCAAATTTTCAAGTTTTGGAATTGAAATGAAATGGTAGTTCCCAAACACTACCTGAAGGAAACCCCCATCTTGGTTCAATACTTCAATGACATGTTAACCCAAACACAAATGATAGGGGCAGATAAATGTTTAAGAAAAGTATTCAGATAATGCAGGTCAAAGAAAAGTATCAGTGTACCCTGATTTAATATTTTTTTTATGTTGATGTGTAGGGTTTATATCGTACTACCTTCATTAGCTGAACCATTTTCTAAAAAGTTCTAAAACATCTTTTCCACTAGAGTATTTACACTCAAGGGTTGGTTAAACAGATTGCAGGAACAGCTTTTCAAAAAACAAATGTAGACACTGAGGGTAACATCTTATTGGGTAACCACTACACCCACCTTCCTAAATAAATTTCATCTTTGCTTTTTCATGTTTTCACCCTCTCCAACATTCATCTTTGACAATAGTTATATTTTTTGTAAATTACTAAAACATTTTATAAAATAACATTTAGAAAATATAGATATTAAAAAATATCACTCTATAATTTATGAAATATTGTAGGTCAAAATTAATGAGTTTTGGTCCTCAAAAAGCAAAGAAGTTTATTAGAGTAAATAAAGTGTGACAGGTGGATAAAAAGGTAAACATGAATGTTTAAATTGACGCACTTAGAAATAACCTTCATTCATTGTCACCCCTTTATACAGTTTAATTTTTAAAGGCTCAAAATTAACGGGTTCATGCTATAGGGACTAATAAGAACATTTTTCGATAGTGCACAAATTGTTTGAAATTCTCAATTATTTGTAGTACCTCTACCTGGATTATTCGTCCAATTTTGACTTTATACAGTAAACTGCTTTCAACATTTGACCTATAATTACATATTAATTATATAGTTTATTAATTAGATAAAATAATATTTTGAAATTATTTTATAAAATAAATCAGATAAATTTATTTTTGTATCAATATCTAATATCAATTTTATTTAGTTAATAGCCAAAGTCAGGCAGTTAAAGTCAAAACTAAACAAACACTCAAAGACGGAGGTAGTATAAACTTTGAGCATGGGAGTCCTAGATTAATTGTCAATAAAAAAACTCGATCTAGTAAAGGTCTCTCATATTTCTCCAAGATATTCCGCATACCTTTAATCACATTACCGTTACCAAGATCAAATTCAATGGGGTCATTCCTTTCATAGCTGGAATCAAATACAGATCCATCAGTAAGTTTTCCCTGCGAAGATCACCCAGAGTATGTTAAATAACCAAACATGACTTTGAATTCAGTCTTCTTCTTCTTCTAAGATACATGAATGATCTTATAGTGTGTCAAGAGGTGATAAAACCCCAGCAAGAGTACTAGTAGTAGTAGCTGCTCTCACCCGATAGTGTACTTTAACTCTATCACCTTTATGAGCCTGTAGTTCGCAAGTAGTTGGCCTATGCTGCAATAATTGGTAATGAAAGGTAGTTCAGGAGGAGAAATCATTAAACAACACAACAACAACCCAATTAGATCCCGCAAGGGTAGAAACTAGGGAGAGTGTGTGTACGCAGACCTTGCCCCTACTCGAATGTAGGGAAGTTGTTTCCAAGAGCAGCATAGATAATACTCCCTCCGTCCCACTTAAATCTTTAGGTACATTAGTCACAGGGTCAAACATTATATACTTTGTTTCCTTATTTTCATTACTCATTTGATAATATAATATAATCATGTCGCCTCTAGTTTTGTAGATCTTTTGATGTAGTTTCTTAATATATAATTTTTTTAATTTTACACTTTCAATCAAATAAATTGAATTGAAAATAAAATTAGTCAAGCATCGTAACGCGGATCGGAAAGATTCAAATAGAATAGAGGGAGTAAAAGATAGTACTAAAAACATAACATGAGATACATAATAAAGAACAAAAAGCACATATAAAGTCCAAAACACACAAAGGAAAAGAACAAAGTAATTTTACGAAGGAAAAATACTACAAACAGAGAGTACCAAACATATAAGACATACAAACTACAAAGCACACAAAAAAGTCTAGAAAACTACCATCTAGCCCAAAGCGCCTACCCAAACGCTCTCCAAACGCTCCTACCTAAGATTGATCATATCCTCAATAAGGGCAAGAAGTCGTATGTCCTATCTAATAACCTCCTTCCAATTCTTTCTAGGGTCTACCCTTTCCCTACTCCCCCCACCTACCAACGTAAGCCTCTCACATCTGTGCACTGGGCCTCACAAGCCAAACCACCTCAACCTATCTTCCCGTAACTTATCTTCCACAGGCGTCATGCCCATGGGAGTCAAACTCGCAATCTGACTCGTACGGTTCCACGAGTCTGCAGATCGCCATCCCCCTCCTGATCCAACTCGCCTGCAGAATTGCAAAATCCAGTGGACTCGGCCGGAACAACGATTCGACTCGTGAAATCGCAGGATCGCAATCAATCGGCGATTGTGAGAAGCCCAAAGACCAAAACGCGGCGTCGCTTCAAAATCTACTTCCAATCGCAACTTTGAATTTTTCGGGAAGTTCAATCGTAAAGTCGTATGTCGCGACTCCCAAAGACCAAACGCAGCGTGTGTAGCGAGTCCCAATTCTAGTCACGACTCCCTTCCAATTCCAGGCTATCTTTACGGAGTATCTGCTTCTATTTATTTGGGACTCCCAATCTGCTTCTAATCGCGACTCCCAATCTGCTCCTATTATTTATCTGCCGATTTGGGACTCTTATTTATCAGCCTTCCTTTTGTGCTTCCTTTTGCTTCTTTCTGCTTCCTTCTGTGATTATTCATCAGCCGCGACTACCTTTAAGCCATTTGTGATCCAACTTGAACTTGTGTTATGTTTTATTAAAATTTAATTAAAACATATATATATATATATAAATGAAAGATAGATTTATTCATAAAAGAAGAAAAGTACATGAGGTGGGGGTGGCCGTCCTCAACAAATGGCCAAAACAAATCACAGAAAACAAGCCAAAAGAAAACAGTACTAAAAAGCAAAAGGATAAGGAGATGGCTATTACTACAACCCATAATTTGACTTCTTCCTCTTGAAACTTACTACCGAGCAGACACCTCCTAGAAGCGAATAATCCACCGCCAGAAAATACTCCTCCCAGTCTTCTTCCTCTTTGAAACAGATCACGATTCAGCCCAAAGAGACTGCCTTCCCGTAAGCTATAAAATCCACAACCAATCATAGTTGCCATAGAGAGAAGCAACAAACCCAACACCAAAAGTCCCTAACGTTTGGGATTGAAACCAGATAACCCCATATATATCACCGAACTGCAGCTAATAGACTACTGCCAAATTTGTTTTGGAGTATGATGGAAAAAAGCAAAATGACTATTGAAAATATTTTTGCTTCTTCTGATAGTGAAGTAGCATTTAGTCAATGCAGCTTTTGACGCACATCATGGGTCATCTAGAAACAGTTGCTCTATGTCATAAACATAGTGGCCAGGTTGCGTACATCCAACCCCCTTACCCCACAATATGCGGGAGCCTTTGTGACACGGGTAATGTTGTTGTTGCACAGAACCCCAGAAGCAATTGCAGGTGAAACCAAAAATGCAAATTTGGAACAGCAACTTATTGATAAAGACGACATGATAAAGCTTCTTTGTGGCAATCTCTAGAAAACCCATGACCGCATGAAGAACCAGGCTAATTCCAAATGTCGTGAGCTCTCCTTCTTGGTTACTAATTATGTTTTTCTGAAAATCCATGCCTACCGAGAGCTCATCTTGGCAAAACAGTGTTATGAAAAGCTTTCCTTGTGGTTATTTGGCCCTTATCGAATCACACGCAAGCTAGGCCCGGTCGCTTATGAGTTGGAGCTACCCCCACATGCCCGAATTCACCTGGAATTTCATGTTTCTATGCTTAAATCGGCACCCAATCTTATTCCATTTGGCCCCATTGCCCCTCTACAAATACCAAGGACTAAGAAGTGGATATCTAACCTCAATTTGTGGTAGCTCAATGTTGGGTTTTCGAACTGGGCAACTCGTCTTTGAATTAATTATCTCCTGGAGTAATCGTCTAATGAAAGAAGCCACATGGGAAACGGTTCAGTGGAAGGCAGTTCCTAGCAGTTCCTCTAGCAAGAATTATGTACTTTCTTAACCAATTAGTACTATAAATAGGTTATAGCATATCAATGTTCATTTTTGTTTTCTTCATATTTTTATTACTCCGTATCAAGGATATACTTGGAGATTTTGCCCATCTCGAATCGGGCCAACCATTTCAGTATCATTTTCCTCCCTATTGATTATTAGGTTTTATCAACATTACCCCCAACTTAGTAGCAAAGAGGTTATTTCCAAGAGATTTACCACGAAATAATCAACTAAAAAATCAAATGTAAAAAAATCATAAGCCCAATTATATTATCCTCATATCCCATTGAAGTATTTTGGTATACCCCGAAATAACATTAACCTGAAAGCATTTATACGTGATTCGCTAAGTCTATCAAGTCGTTCCTTCATGTTCTTCATATACTAATTCTTCTAACGCTGCTACACAGCATTACTACCCATGCAAATTTCCAACAAGATGTACAATATTATTTGGTGATTTTATATAAATTTTGGCTTCTTAAGGGTATATACGCGCTAAAGGACTAGCATTAATTCAGCCAATTTGGCCAGGTTGACAAGTCATACCTTTGGGTCAGACTAGATTTCAAGTACATAGCAAAAACCCACCCCTTCAAATAGTGAGATAGGCTGGCACATGGCCCTAAAGGATTGGCCCAACTATTTGGTCCATTGGATGGGTTTGTACCAACCGGCCAAAGAGTTTGTTGGCCAAATGATAACCCCTAAACTATCAGTTATGTCACTGAGAACAGCCATTGCTTAAATAGCTTGGATCTAATACTGAACAATAAGAACTAAATGTACTTTGGGTGGACAAATCTCGATACCCAATAACAGCACCTGATAAATTGCACCGAGTACATGTGATGATCCAGTAATTCAGCAACTACTAAAGCAAATAATCCTTGCATGATTAGTGCCAAGCAATGTTGCCAAGATTGTGTTTAAAGTAATATAGTATAAGATCAAATTGTATAGTCAAATCACACAAATGTAAAGTTTTACTGAAGTATAAAAAATAAAAACACAAATAAACAAAGAAAACACAGAGAAAAATAATTAAGTTACTATCATGACAACAGTCATAAAACAGTCAAATTAAATATTCACCAAATAATTTATTAAATGATTTTACCTCATTTGGTGCAAAACCTACATAAAGGAAATGAATAGATGATAATTACAAAATCACAAATTACAAGTTAAATAATACCGTTTGGATTATAAAATGTAACAAAGACCAGCCCAGTGGAGGTATAAAGAGGTGCAATTGCACAAAGCCCTATATTAAGGAGGCCCAAGACTTTTGGAAATGTACTTTTATAAGATTCTGCTTTCCTGCTAAAAAAACTTTCTCGTTTGACTTTCGAGAAGTTTTTGAAGTGTTGGAGAATAAAAACAAAAAATGGATTGTTAAACTTTGTTTAGATGAGATAGGGTTGTGACTTGTAAGCCACTCATTCCTTTCTATAAAAGGAATTAAAGTATGGAGTTTATTCAGAGACAAATGAAAAAGGAGTGAAGTTCTTTGTGGCATGAAGAATGTATATATACTCTGCATATACTAACACATTTGTAAAATCTTCAATTTTAAACCTCTTTTTAACAAAAACAATTTCAACCTTTAAATAATCCAATTTTATAAGTTAATAATTATAAGTAGATTCAACATTATATTTCTTCTTTTTTAGCGCTTTCTACTCATTTTTTGGCAAGATGGTATGATATGGTTGTTTATTACTCCGTATTTTATACTTCAATTTATTGGATGTGACTCTCTATAAAACTGTTTCTTAATATAATATAACTATTTTTTTTCATTCTTTACTAGTATTGAATTTTGTATAAAAGCTATTTCATTAAATTATTATATTTAACAAGGCCTAATTTTTACTTTTTGTACAAGGCCTTCAAAATGATTCGACCAGCCCTGTTGGTGAAAGTAGACTAGTAAGGTCATATGCTTCTAAGATATTAACCTGTACTTCAAAGGTTCAAATAGTACAGTTTTACATAAAATCCTTTGATATTGGGATAGAATTCTAGATTTTGATAACCTAGTAATAGATGTTCTAATGTAAAATGGAATCAACTTTAAAATGTATTAGCAGCTGAGGTCATCAATCAAAGAAATATTTTTCATATAATAAAAAGTATAATTAAGATTTACCATCATCATCAAATTATAAATACTATACCTGATTTTCACTTCATACTTGGCTGTCGAAGAACTATGATTTGGGATGATATTTTTACCTTATTTTTTTAAGAAGAATGAAAAAAAATACTTTAAGTGGATTAAATATTATTCACAATCCAAAGTTCATAAATCAAAATACACAAAACTCATAATTTATAATCTCTGTCTCAATTTTCCAAATCTGATTTTTGGTCCCAAAATACGGTTCTTTGTGAGATTTATATTGTTTCTATCCCGACCCTAATAGCAAGTGATATGTGAATAAAAACCCTTTTTAGGGCAGTAACACATCTCGCCCATGCTTGCTTGCCCATAAGTGATTCCAAATTTTAAATCGAAAAGAAACACAATCAAAGTTACTCGAATCTAAGGAATTATTAACATAAAATGGAAATTAGAAGAAAAACCTTCACACCGATTTGTAATTCTGTAACGTCCCCAGATTTCTTCGCTGCAACTGCAAACAGAGAGAAAATGAAGGCTAATGGAATTATGACCTGCTCCATTTAAAAATATTTCGTTGGCAGCTCAACGAGGAACAAATTACCATCAAAGATCTCATCAATGATCAAACACAATCAACTCCGTAAACCCTAGAAGGAAATTTTATAAAGAAATAAACACGAGAAGGAAGCTATTCAATTTACCTAGAGTTACAACCGCAAGAAGTAGAAGAATTGAAGCAGTGTCGCAGAATCCCATTTCGATATATTGAATCCTTTCTCGTTGAATATCAAGTTAGGGATTAGGGAAACCCTGTATTTATCATCGGTAGCATTCTACGGCAAGCAATGTTGAACCCACGTAACGCTTAGTACCATTGGCCAATTACACGCTTCCATGTCAGGTAAGTAAGACCTGTCAAATGGGTCGGCCAGTTTAGGTTCGGGTTCAGTTATTTCGGGTTCGAATTACTTCGTATCCGGGTCAATTTGGTTTCGCGTTGAGAATTGTATGTTTATGACCACTATCATCGGGTTTGAATTGACCCAACGGGCTATGTCTTTGGTTTTAAAAATTTTTAATTCATATTAACACTTGTATTTTATATTTAATAAATTTAAAATATTAAAAAACATGTATTAAATTCTATTAGATTGTTTTTTTAATTCTAAAGTAATTTTTAGATATATAAATCAATATGAAAAAAACTAAAAAATGGATAAGTTTTAGAAAAAAGTAAGATATTTATGCAATATCATAAAATTTTGTCCAAAAATACTCCCTCCGTCTTTAAATATTTGTCACACTTCTATTACCGAGGTAAAATATCAAGTTTTTTCAATTCATTTTATTTACATATTGGTATAGAAATAAAAAAACTACATATCAAAAAACTACATGAAAAGTTCTTCGAAATAAGAGGTGTCAATAATATTTTATTTTATCAAATAACCAATGAAAACGTAGAAATAAACAAAAGTTCTCGCGACTGCTGAAAAACCAAATGTGACAAATATTTAGGGACGGAGGGAGTATAAATCCTTTAATATAATAAAGGAGACTAAGATGCACAGAAATTCGACATTTGACATGTCTATGTGGCAAAATTTAAACATGTCAGCACGCCACGTAATATCCAAGTAAATCAGCGGAAATCCTTTAATATAATATTTCAGACTTGGATCACCAGAGCTTGACATGTGGAATGCTTACGTGGAGTTTTTTGACATGTTAATGATGACTGTATGCATTAATTGAATCTGAAATCACTCATAAAAAGTCTTCATATATAGTAACTTTTGAATAATCATTGACCATTTTAAACAAATAATTTATGGTAACTTTTAAAACTTGATATTTATATATTTGGTAAGTTTGCACTAATATATTTGATATTACAAAAGAATTACTTTCTTTAAATTTGTTTAACTTATATTTCATTTATTTGATGATTTTAATCTCTTTTTACTTCATCAATATGCTCACTATTACTGTCACATATCATATTCAAAATTATTTATGTGACCCATATCCATTCTAATTTTTTTTATTTTTTAAAGATTAAATAACATGACAAAAGAAACAAATACAGAGTCTATGACATGTTTTAAATATTTATTGATCATTTTTCGCAAATAGTTTATTATAATCTTTAGAAGTTGATATTTAAATATTTGATTTTATATTACAAAAATGTTATGGACTTTTGAATTCAAAGAAAATCAAGTAAATGAATGAAAATAAAAATATAATTTTTCTATAAAAATTAAGTGAATTATTCATTATAAAAGACATTAACACTGATATAAAAAAATTTTAAGTAAAATATGAAATGTTTTTAAAATTATTAATTTATTCTTTTTTATGAGAATTTATTTAGCAAAAATATGGTTGTAATTCAACAAAAAATGTGTACATAATTGAATTGAATTTAGCTTAAAATGACTAATCTAATACTCCCTCCGTCCCTAAATAAAGTTCCTCTTTCGTTTTTTCTTTGTCCCTAAATAAACTTCTCTTTTCCCTTAAAAAAACCCCTTTTACCCCTTATTTTTTCATACTCTACCTATCACATCATACATTTTTACTAATAATCTACCTATCACATCTTACTTTAACACATCACATCAAGGGTATTTTTGGAAAGTCAACACCAAAATATCCCTCCCTTAAATCCTCAAAAAGTCAAAAATGGAACTTTATTTAGGGATGGAGGGAGTATAGCTAAAAATAAGTTAAAAAAGAAATTGAGTAAATTTTCAAAATAGTTCTTTCTACTAAGGTACTTTTACATGAGTGATTTTAACTCTTAATGGAGTTGTATAGATTTGGATACATTTTATTTTTCTATATCAATATTTTTTTAGATTCTTCAAGTTCATGGATTATTCTATCATCAATAATCGATTATAAATAGACTAAAATGATTAAAATTATAAAACACAAAAAATATAATGACTTCAAACAAAAGAGTTTAAAAACACGTGGATAAAATAAATTCAATTAGTAAAAAAATAAAATAAATTTATTTTCCAAATATAAAAAATCTACATTCACATTTGATATGTTTCACAAAAAAACTTATTTTCTTAAAAATTAAAAAAATCAAATTTATTTTACAATTGAACTTTACTAGAATTGTCAAACGACTATTTTAAAAATGTAAATGATGAATTATAATTACAATTTTTCACATAAAAATTTATAGCTAGATTCAAATTGTATGACTTAGATATCCTTTATATATAAAAATAAGATTTAAATCTCTAGAAAGTCGACATGTTGTATATATTGTTTATGTGGCGTTTTTTGAAACTTAATATGCCACACAATTTGTAACGTGGAAAATAATAAAGTAATAGTTTGGTTTGAAATCAATGAGTAAATTTATTATGGAAAAAATATGTTCATTTATATGATAATATTCTTTCCTATTTTATATATTTTTCTCTTCATTTATAACAAAATTTCAAAATAATAAATTAGATACTCTCTTCACCTCTTAATAAATTTCATATTTCTTTATGAGATGTTTAAATGATGTTAGTTTTGATTTTATTATTTAAATATTGATGTAAAATTTAAAAATTAAAATATTTTAAAAACTATAATAAAATTTAACTCGCTCGGCAGTCGCTTTGTCTCAAAATAATTTACCTCTTTATTATTGTAGCTTCTCGATATTTTTTGTTAGTTTGCATATTTTCATTGATCATTTGATAAAATGTTTTCACCTCTCACCTCTTATTTTATAGAACTTTTGATATAATTTTTAAATATTTAATTTTTTTTATTTTATATACCAAATTGTAAACAAAATCATTGTAAAATTCACGAGATTTTGCATGTCGCTCAAATAGGAAATATACTTTGGAACGGAGAAAGTATAAAATAAGGGATGATTGAACTATATAAAAGTGTTAAATAGAGAAAACAATACTATATATAATTTGATCATTTAATCGAGTATATTAAGTTTATGGTATAATTTAAATACCATTGGTGCTCATTTGATCGAGTATATAAAAAATAGAGAAAACAATGCATTATTTTTTAACTATTTATCAGTATATGATAATTTTAATTATATTATTCAATACAATTTAGAAACAAATGTGTCACCATGACTTCTTATGTTTACACAATCATTCCTTACTGTTTCACCATCATTGACAAATTTTAAATGTGGAATAGAGATCTTCATTTTTATTAGAGTATTCTTTCTTAGTATTATATTTTTTTTACTTCATTTATAATAATACTTTGAGTAAGTTTCATATTTTTTATGATATGCCGAAATGAAGATAGTTTTTACTCTATTTATTTAAACATTGATGTAAAATAAAAATATATTTTAATCTCTATTTTAAAATTATATAAAACAAGAAATGCTTTGACTACTATTTAAAATAATCAAGTATTTAAATCAAATAAATATTTAACATGAATTTTGTATTTTATGATGGTAATTCGACTTACTATTTTAATCCAAATAAGTTTGTATTTTAACTTACCATTTTCCTAAGGTGTAACTTAATATTTATAAACTTATATTGTGTAGGAATTCACTATATTTATGCATGGAGATAAGAAAATTTTAATGAGAGGGGACTCGCTTCATTCCTACACTTTCATTTGCATAATTATACATAGAAACAACATACGATAGTGTTTTATGAGACAGAGAGAGATGACACAGATGTATGCAAAAAATTGTGATAAGGAAGATTAAGATGCGGAGGTGAGTGCTAGAAGGTCTGTGACAATGAAGATGGGTGTGCGGAGAAGATCCAAGGTGCAAAAACGAATAAGATCAAAACTAGGATACAAAGCACTTAAGAGAAATATAATTTCAAATTTGCAACTATTTATATTTTGTTAGAACATTTTGTATTGATCAAAATGATACTATGCGTTTGAATGATTTTGCATTTTAAAGAAAAAAATAATAAAAAGAATAAAAATAGTAATTTTTTTGTAAATTTCCCTTTAGAAATCAACCAAAAATAGAAGTAAAAAGTATTACAAAATACGAGTCACATGTTTTTATCTAAAAAATGGTACTACTGAAATATACTGTGACACTGTATATTGACATTTCATTATAATTTTTGTATTATATGTTGGTCTTATTGATATTATAGTTCTTATTTTTCAGATACAACATAAATATTGCATTTTGGTTATTTTCTTATATTTTATTTCTATTTTAATCTTTCTCTTTTTCCCTTCAGAATCATTGTAGCGCTACTTTTTTATTAATATTTTTTTTCAAAATTGATGCGGGGGAGAAGAATTGTTGTATTTTAATTTTTTTCAAATGAATATTTTTAATAGTAGAGTCATAGGATCACTAATCTAATATTTTTTTTTAAATAATGCAGTAGTAATGATTCAATTTTTGTATTCAATGCGGGGGTGGGGGGAATCATTTTTTTGCTGATCTCAATTAATGCAGGAGTGAAAAATCATGTTTTTTAATTGTAGAATCATAAGATCAGTAATTCAAGCTTTTTAAAATTTATGCTGGGGAAAAGATTCATAGAATCACTACTATTTTTGTATTTTATTAATTTAGACGGGAATAAAAATTAATGACTTATATAAATTCAATAAACATAGATCATTTATATTTGATGTATAAATGATATGTCTCATAAAAAAGTCATTTTAATATTCTATATTATAGAATCACAAACAATTTTGTATCATTCTGTGCATGGCATGGGTTAAAATACTAGTTTATATACTAAAAACGAATAGAAAAGTATATGATTTTGAAAAAGTCTTACATTAGCGGGTCGGTCAGGTCAGATTCGAGTTCGGT